TTTGAGCTCTGATCCTTCCTATTGAGCTCTGATCTGTGTTCTTCAACTTTCTCGAGGTATTTGCGTGCCCCCGACTGCCTTAACCACAGAGAAGAGACCATCTTGCGCCTTCTCTTTGCGCCTACGAGCCTCATCACAAAGGTACGTTTCAGTGTTATGTCTCTCCCCGGATTTTTTTTTCTCTCTCTGGTGAAAATGAATCCCACGATTTTTTTTCTGTACGATAAGTTTACTCTCTCTCTCTGGTTTTTTTCTGATTTTACAGATTTTTTGCACATGTTCCTATTTTTTTGTGTTTATTTGGCTCATTGGGTTACCCAGTATAGACTTTGATGAGTTGATTAAGATTTGTCTAAGTTGCAAGGGTTTTTGTTCTCATTTTGGGTTACTCAGCAAGGGTTTTTTGTTCTCACGGCTCTGTTTATTTGAATATGGAGACATTGGTCTGAGTCCTTATTTTTGTAAGAGAATGGTGTCTGAAATTTTGCTTGAATTTGATTTGTTTGAATGAATCGTGAAGAATAGCGTTGTCTCGCTTAAAAAAATCCGAGAAGTTTGATGGGCTGTGCTGATCATCGATTAAAAAAGAATAATTTTGACCTATATTGCACTATTATACTATCCGCTCTCTACTACATCATTAATATGCTTATTGTGGTTTTTGGCCTTTTGAGTTGGATTACTTGTTTTCAGTATTGTGTTCAGCAGGGATTGGAATTCTTTTTTTTTTTTTTTTTGACATGAGTAGGGATTTCGTATTCTTGGTGCATGGTTTTGTGTTCTCTTTCTGTTTGGTACATGTTGTGGGGTAGTATTGTGTTCAGCAGGGGTTTGGAATTCCCTTTTTTTTTTGAGACATGATTAGGGATTTCGTATTCTTGGTGCATGCTTTTGTGTTCTCTTTTCTGTTTGGTACATGTGGGGTAGTATTGTGTTCAGCAGGGGTTTGGAATTCCCTTTTTTTTTTTTTTGGACATTAGTAGGGATTTCGTATTTGGTGCATGCTTTTGTGTTTTCTCTTTCTGTTTGGTACATGTGGTGAGTTAGGAGAGGGAAAATTGGTTTTTTTGGGGCTTGGCTGAAATGTTGGTGGTATCCAACAGTTGGATTTATGCATAGGTGGCTCCTTTGTTGGTTCATGTGTTAAAGGGAAAAGGGGATTGTACTGGGTGATTAGAGGTTCTTGTTGTTCACTTTCGTCATATTTTTTTCTTTCTTATTCATTTTCATAAATCACGGTTGGTGCATTTCTTTGAAGAACCTAGATTAATGAGCTCCTTTCTTTCTTAGTTTTCTGAAAACCTTTGAAGTTTAGTTGCTATTGCTTGCTAGCTTGCTCGCTTTCATTCCTGAATTTGTTCTTCACTCAATGGTTTCATTTGTTCCAAGTATTTATTGAAATTGCTTTGCAATTTTTTTTTTTGAAATTTCTTTGATTTACAGCTATGATACACAGCTATGATGTGGGTTTGTTTATATCTTTTAATGCAAAGAAGAAATGCATGAATTACCAACATTATCATTTTCGTCACTCAATGGTTTCATTTGTTCCAAGTATTTATTGAAATTGCTTTGCTATTTTTTTTTGGAGATTGCTTTGATATACAGCTATGATGTGGGTTCATGAAATCTGATATATTTTTTCTATAATGCACAACTATGATGTGGGTTTGTTTATATCTTTTTATGCAAAGAAGAAATGGATGAATTACCAACATTTTCATTTTCTTCACTCAATGGTTTCATTTGTTCCAAGAGATAACACACAATTGTTGTGTGCCATTATAATATTAGAGAGAGAGAGAGAACACAAATGTTTTAAGGGACAAACAACAATGTTGTTTTATTGTTGAATGACGTATATTTTTTAGGTTGGGATATAGATGCATTAGTGGTGAATGTAAGTAGTGCTCACGTTATTACAGGTGATTGTTGAATGGGCTGATTTCTTACTGCTTGCATTTTCAATTATGTATGTTTAAACTATTATAGGTTATTGTTGAATGGGCTGGTTTTGTACATGGTTATATATGGATGCATGAATTGTGAATGTTGCTTGACATGCATCACAAATTGCCTTAATAGATAACATATAAATGTTGTGTGCCATTATAATCTTAAGAGAGAGAGAGAGAACACACAAATGTTATGTGCATGACTTGTGAATGACATATATTTTTGAATTGTGAATGACGTACATTTTGTAGGTTCGGATATTGATGCATCGGTGGTGAATGTAAGTAGTGCTCAAGTTATTATAGAAAAATAATATTGTAATTTACTTTCAATTGATATTGTATTCCAAAAAATAATATTCTACAAATTAATAAAAAATAAATAATATCTAGGTCTCAATTTTAACATTTACATCTTTCCTATTATTTAAAGCTAATCCAATACAGATACCCAGTTCTTCTTTAACTTCCCAGGAGGTTATCAAACACAGAAACCAGGAACTTCTTAAGTTCCCAGGAGGTTATCAAACACAGACACCATGAACTTCTTAACTTCCCAGGGATGCTATCAAACACAGAAACCAGTAACTTCTTTAGGAACTACTAATGTGTAGTTCTTCAAGAACTTCCAATTTACAGTTCATGAACTTGCTTCCAGTTATCAAACAGGTAATTGAAAATAGGCTCCTAGAAATTTGGGTTTCACATCTCTGTGTTTACGGTTTAGAGGGGAAGAGAAGAAAATAGGCGCTGGGCTCATAGCCATTAGGGTTTATAAAGAGAGAAGAAGTAGAAAAAGTTCATCGGCTTTGGTTTATAGAGAGAGAAGAAGGAAGAAGGAAGAAGGAAGAAGAAAGAGTTCATCGGCTTCACAAACTCTAATGCCCTAATGGAAGAGGCCCTAACTGATTTTTAGAGAGAGAAAAGGAAGATGGGATGCTGATTTGGGATAGTTTGAAGAGGATTTTTCTCTCTGATTTGAGTTGTTGTTTGAGAGAAAACCTTAATTATACTGATTTGTGAAGAGGCCCTAACTGATTTTTTGAGAGAGAAAAGGAAGAGGGTTTTTCATTTTGTTGGGGAAACATGAAGCAGAGCTGAAGGATTAGGTTTGGGGGATTGCTTGCTCTTGTAAGTTTACAGTTTACAATATATTGTTTATCTTTCTTATCACATAATCAAAAACAAAATGTTGATTACTTGGTCTTGTACTCACACTCTCTGCTTCTCATTCGTCCATAAAAGACTATGTTTTGAGCTCTAATTTGTGCCATTAACATTATTTTCGTAAAAACAATTATCACAAATAACAACAGAAATCTGCATGTATATGATTTTCTTTATACAATGATTTACTTTACGAAATGATTTGCTTTAAACAATATTATTTCATTTACACAATGACAATCCTGTAAGTTTACAGTTTACACTATATTGTTTATCTTTGTTATCACATAATCAAAAACAAAATATTGTTTACTTGGTCCTGTACTCACACTCTCTGCTTCTCATTCGTCAGTAAAAAAACTATGTTTTGAGCTCTTATTTGTGCCATATACATTATTTTCATAAAAACAATTATCACAAATAATAACAGAAATCTGCATGTATATGATTTTTTTACACAATGATTTACTTTACGAAATGATTTGCTATAAACAGTATTATTTCATTTGCACAATGATTTTCCATAATAACAACTTTGTTTAAATTTTTAAAAAAAGGGAAAAAAAAATTCATACTTTCAATCTGCAACTGTGGCTTTGAAGAACACAGTGGGGATAAAATTTCTATTTTAGGTTTTTTTTGAAATAATATTTTTTTTCAAAAGCATGAAAGTAGCAATGGCCGCAATACCATTAAAGTGCTCCACATTTTTGGACACTAAAATACCATTGAATTGTAATACAAAATTTTTCAAGTAGGGGCATTTTGGGTCATTAAGAAGGATAGAATGGATATTTTTATAAGAAAATAGTGGCATTCTATTAGTAGTTAAAAACAATTAATGCATCTTGTGGGTGATGCACACACCATATTGGTGATGTCATTGTCCACTATTGTTAATAAATGCTTTTGATTCTTTTAGGAATTTCTAGTTTACTCTTAACTAAGAAGAGATCTATTGGTTCCAGAGATCTAGGATAAAGTGGTTAAAATTGGGAGACCTTAACACTGCTTTTTTCCATCGTATAGCTAATTGTCGTCAAAGGGGCAACACCATCTCGGTGCTCAAAGTTAACAACAGCTATTTGACCCAACCAGCACAAATTGAGCACGCCATCGTAGAGTTCTTTCAAACTCTATATTCTAGCCCCACTGGCCCGAGGCCTAGAATGGCTGATCTCGATTTCCTGTCATTAACTGAGAACCTAGCAGCTTCAATAGAGCAACCTTTTTAATGAGATTTTCGCTTTAATCCTTTGACAGGTACTTAAATTGAATAGTAGATTATACATCACTAGCTTTTTCTCGAAATCATGGGACACGAAGATAATTTGAGGACTTGGGTTTCTGACAAATTGTACTCAGTTTTGGGCTACTCCCAACCAGCAGTGGTCTCTTTTATCATCGGATTGGGTTAGTATCAAGATATCCTGCATTTATGAGAATTGTATTGTAGTTCCCAAATTTTAAAATGGGTTGTTGTGTCCTAGTATAATATATATTGTTGAAATATGCAGCCAAGAAAGCTTCTTCACCAGCTGATGCTGCCTCCAAGCTTAAAGAATTCGGGTTTCCTGCATCTGCCGAAACCCATGAATTTGCAAAAGAAATTTATATGAAAGTACCACACAAGGCAGCGGGTTTGAATGTAAGCCATTTGTTGTTGCTTTTCCTATTATTTATATTTTCAAGTGATTAGCGGTATCATCATTGTGTATGTTTGCCTTGCTATACCTCTGGTGGGAAAGTTCTTCTCTCTCATAAAGTTGGCTACACTATAGCTCCTCTTTTCGTGTAACTATATGCCTGCCGCATATTAGATGAAAAGTTAATATATCATGAAGTTTACGAAGAAAGAGGCTAGTGTATGTGCAAGGCTAAATCTTCTTAGTTTTTTTCGTGTATTTCTTTATTATGTGCCTTTTCCATTCATTAATGGGTGATGGAGTATAATTGCTACCAATTAAGAACCTTGAAATTGTCCTTTTCAAATTTAATATCAAAATTATATGAATAATATGTACATTTATTTGAAGCTACTGAGTATTTTTGTTGATAAGTTATAATAAAGATGAAATTGATATTGACAAGAAGAATCAACTTGACACTGACAAAAAAAGAAAAAAATTTGACAAGGAGTTGATATTCTACATAATAAATAATTTTTTATTACAAGACTTCTTCATGGCTTTCTTTATGGGCTATTATATGGTTCAATATGAAGATCTGATGATGCATTCTATGTTATTCGGCAAAGACTATCTACCTAAGCTCCTTTTGCTTCAAAATGCCACTTCCATTTGCCCAACAATTTCAATAACTGCTCCAAGCTGCTAACTTCTTTGGGCAGCAAACCTCTTTAAATTTGAGTTATTAGACCAAACGAGTGTGAGAACACTCATCTCCATGACTCCGAATAAGCTCTTATGGTAGTCGGCAACATTAGGCATCACACATCAAAATCTGGAAATAAGGGCTGTAAAAAGACTGTAATCCGGTGCGGCTCCTGCCTATGTGGGGTCCGGGAGGGACATCAAAATCTGGAAATGTTGTGTATAAACTGAGAACGGGAAATTGGTTGAACCCCAAGACGTGTAATGAACTCTTTGATTATGCAAAACCTGTTGCCCCATGTCTAAGGACCCTTAAGTGCCAAAGCAGCCTCTAGGAGAAACATCCTATACATGACAATTATTTTGAGCATTTCAGACGATTGTTACTTTTGTATTCTGAACCTGCTTCTTTTAGGTTTCAACTTTTCCCCATGTATGCGGGATTGCAGCTCTTTCATGGAGTCACTTTGATTCTTTCACCTAAATTTGTGTTTAAATTTATCTTTCTAGGTCAACTATAAAGGCTCCTAGAGAAATGTGTTAATTTTTATGGCTATATTCAATTTTTATGGAAATGGAGGTAGGAATTAACTTCTGGGGCTATGAATGACGCTGCATCATTTTTTGCCCATATATTTATGCCAGAGTTATCAAAAAGCAGAGAAAGAAGCTGCTATGTTGGTCAAGAAGCAGCAGGAGTATGCACTTCTAGATGCTGATGATGAAGATGACCCAGAACCACCTCTTCCGGTGGCACCCAAGTCAAGACAGAAGCAGATTAGGAAGAAAAGACAGATTGAAGACGACGATGATGATGATGAGGTGTGGACCTGAATATTGATGATAAATGATTCTCGTTTTTTTTATTGATAAATGCACATTGACATTTTTTTTTTGACTTCATTGAGCTTTATGTTGTAGGACATTCTTCAAAATACCAAGGAGAGACGTGTTAAGAAGCACACCACTGAAGGAGAAAGTGAAGATGACTCCTCTGAGGTATGTGATTCACATTGAACTAGGTTTCCATGTTTATCACTATCTTAATAACAGATGCATTTTATTAGTAATAAGACATGCAGTTTTGAGATATGAAACCACCTTTGTTTTTGATATTCTATTGTGAGATATGAAAACATTGAGTGAGGCCTTTCTGGAAATTGGTATGTCTTCTTTTTTGAACTACTCATCTATTTATAAACGAATAATATTTTCTAAAGATGTGACGTATCACAAGTTTTACAATGAAACAGAAAGTTTCAAAACTACTTAGCTGGCATAAGACACTGAAACCCAACCTAGGTTTTATTCTTATTTGATGAGAAACATGTTTTACATATTTCATAAATAACTATTATATTTGAATTAACTAATAAAATCCCATGATTACGCTTTCAAGATCACATTAATTTGGAAAAGACTATCCCACTTCCTGTTTTGTAGCCTTTGAGCTTTTCTTTGAGGTTGATGTCTTATGATGTTAATTGTTAACATAATGTCACAACACTATGATATTCCAACTATTTTTAAACTTTTTTATACCTGTTTGTATATTCCCTTAGCTTCTAATGCTGTATAACCAAAATTCCTTTTCTCTACTCATTGTTTGATTTGTCGACGGCTGCATGCTTGACAATTTTTTCTGATCTGCTTGTCATTTGGTTCATGAATTTTCTTGTTCGAGGTTTAAAATTTTAGATTTAAAAGAGTTTCTGCTGGAGGTTTTAATCAGCAATTTAATCTTTAGACTGAATATTGGCCACACTATGTGACTCCAAAAAGAAATGGAATTGTAGCTGAACTTGGGTCCAAATTAGGTGATCTTTTCTCTTAAAAAAGAAGGGAAAATGATCTCTTTTAGGGTCTGTAACTTGAGGAAATTCTAGTTTGTTGGGAAATTCTTCTTAGTTTATAGTTGCGCATGCATATCTTTTCTTGTCCTAGTATTTGTATGTTACACATAGACATTTTGTGTTCTTGCACTTGTTTTTTAATGCATGCATGCCTTTAAGGAGGCGGACTCATGCAATTATTGGGATACCTGTTTTACATTTGTAGCCTGAGAAATCTGGCATGCATCTCTTATTTTATGCTTATACCCGTAGCTATCATGTGTTCTTTATGGTTGCACGATTTTTGAAACCTTTTATGTAAAAGAAAAGTCAGTTGATTCTTAATACATGCATGGCTCTTGGAGGAAATTGATTCAATCCAATTATTGTGTTTTCTGATATATGTGTTAACAGTCTGAGGAATCAAGGAGAATTGATCAGCAAGAGCGTGCAAAATTAGAGAAAAGGCTAAGAGAAAAAGATGCAGCACGGACACGTAAGGTGAGCAAAAACTGCACGAACTGCTTGTCTTCTTAATGAGTTTACGTCTGCAGTATTGGTGTTAGGGGCGGCAATGGACCCGGACGCGACCTGGGACCTGACGTCCAGACCATAGTTGTTGGGTATGGGAACGGGAGCGGTTCTGGGATCGGGGGCGGGATCATTGAAGCTATACTGAAGATCCTTGTGTTAGGGATCGATGCCCGTACAGTCTCTAAGGTAGGGATTGAGGTCCATGTGTGTTGGGGATCGAGCTCCCTTCTTACATAGGATCAAGAATTATTATATAAGAGTGCGAGATCCTATATGTAAGAAGTGAAGTTCCTAAGGGCATCTTTATGAGTTTCTTAACTCAAGGAGTGCATCATTAGTAAAAGTGATCCAACATATTATGGAGCGAGGAATAACTTTTATAGGAGCGAGCTCCATTTTCTTAGAACACGAGTTCCTCGTGTAGGTTTGAATAAGGATCCATGGCTTTAAATTGTAGCTCCAGCTTTGTTGACCAATAACATGTACGCTTAGTCTTCTATGAAATAAATAAGGAACTTTGAAATAATCCATTATTCATTATATTAATATAGTAGATAGATCATTTCATTAAATAATTTATGACATTCTAAATAGTTATGTAATGAAATACAACCCAACACCATATATACATGAAATAATTGTGTTGTTGGTATTGCTTTCTAAAAAGGTGAGTACTCATTATTGAGGATTGTGAGCAATTATTTCATCATCATCATCATTATAGCCTTTTCCCAATTAATTGGGGTTGGCTACACGAATCCTGGTCCGCCATTCTGCTTTATTAAAAGGCCATACCCTCAGTGAGGCCATAAAGTCCCCATATCTTTCCCGAACTCTTCCAACCACGTCCTTTTGGGCATCGCGAGCAATTATTTACTGATGTAAAATTATCATAAAATATCGTAACTATTGATGTAAAATTATCAAATTGTCATAAAATATCAGTGGGCGAGGATTTGCCTTGCAAGAATGGACCGGGGAGAGAGAGCAACGTCCAAAACTTTGGCTTTGCAATTTACCATCCAATATCAGGATTTTACAAACACTTGAAGGGGGCAAAGAGATATTACATCATTTCACTCTTGCGATCCCATATTGGTGGGATCTGGATGCCATATATGGCAATGCTTGTGTTCCGTTATTTTGGAATCTAGATCCCAATACACTCTGGAACGTGAACCATACGAATAGGGATCTAGATCTTGTAATGTTTAGGAGCGTGAAATTAAATTATAAGGAACTTGCTCTCTTACAAGATGGAGCGAGATCCCGAAAACACTAAATTGAGTTTCAGATGAGATCCGCTCTGGGATCGAGAAAATCGAAGTTCTGCAAGGGATCGCCAAGCAAGGGAGGCAATCCTAGTAACTACGGTCTAGACCCGACCTGGGTCCGAGTGGGTTCAATCCCGTTGGGTCCGGGTCCAAATATTGGACCAAAACACCGTTCGGGTCCGGGTCCATGTGGATCCCACCTGACCTGAATAGCGTTATTATATAAATAATATTTAATATATAATATTATAATAAAATTTAAATAAATACAACTATATATTTTTAATTAAAATATTTAAATGATACATGTATATATTAACATAATTTTTAAATAATATTCAAACAATACAATTTGGTCCAATCGGAGTCAGGTCCTGGTCCGGACAGACCCGATCCAACCCGTTGCCACCCCTAATCGGTGTAGTGACAACTTTTTCACCTTTTATATTTGGGTCAGTTCGTGCTGCATATTTCAGTTCGTGCTGCATATTTTTCTACCTTTCTAGGATTTGTGGATTTTGCATGGCTTTTCTTTCTCTATTTTGGTTTAAATTTCAACAGAATTTGACTTCTGGCTTTTGTTGTAGACTACGGAGCCAACATTATCGAGGAAAGAGCAAGGTAGACTTTCTTGGTTCAAGGTTGTGTTGCTTCTAGAACCCATAAAAGGAATCTTAAATAAGAAAACTTATATGACTGAAAGAAACATTGTGTCATTTTCAGTTTTTCCCTTTTTTTTTATTCTGATACTGACCTCATAAAATTGTTTCACAGAGGAGGCGATTCGGAGAGCTAAAGCTTTGGAGCAGAATGATCTTGCAACTTTAAGGTTCGTTTAACCTTCAACTGGAGTTAGAGGAATCTTTCTCTTGATTTTTCCGGCTTTATGTTCGTGTGTTAAAGATTGTAGTTTGAAAACTCATTGCTCAACAACTCATAACTCTCTCTCCATCTTCTTTTGTTTTTTTCTTCTAGTTGGGGTGCTCGTATCATTTTTAGTATAAATCGTGGGATGTCTAATCCTTTATTCTTTAAAGTTTCAGACAAGTTTCCAGACAGGAATATCTGAAGAAAAGGGAACAGAAGAAACTGGAGGAGTTGAGGTAAAATATAGAGATAGTTATCATATTAACTGTGATTTATTTTCCATGTTTTAACTTTCAAGTGTAAATTTTCTTTTGATGATTTAGAAACAGACATTTGATGTGAAGATTTTATTTGCTATAGGTATTCTGTATCCCAGTTCTAAATTTTTTGCATGGTGTACCAGGGATGATATTGAAGATGAGCAGTATCTCTTTGAGGGAGTAAAACTGACAGAGGATGAGCTTCGTGAGTTGAGGTACCTAGATCACTAACTTGTTTAAGAAGGCCTTTTCTATTTTTCAAACCGAGGGATCTTCTGCAATACCTTTCCAAATTAGACTGTTGTCCCTTTATGTGTTTCCCTTGGTGCAGCAATTAGTTTTCTTTTTTCTTTTTCAATTATTGAAAACTGAAAACCATGATTTAATGGTTTAACCATGAATCTATTGACTATCAAGAAAGGTTTGAACATTATGTCAGGCTAAAAGTATTTAAGCACGTAAAATGAGACCAATACTTGAACTTCCGAATGTGTTATTATATTTTTTGTGGGTCGGTTTAATGCTCCACAGTTTTTTGAGAAGTGATTAATATATTGTACTTTGAAAATTTGGTTATGCAGATATAAGAAAGAGGTATACGAGCTAGCCAAAAAACGGGCAGATGATGTGGATGATATTACTGAGGTGAGTAGTGATTTATGTCAAGTTCTAAACTTTTGATTGCTTAATGTCAATGCATGCTCATTTGAGCCAAATACTTGGAAATAGGCATCTGCATAGTGCCTTCTGTAGTAAACCACAACTAGGGGATGAGGTTTCATTTATTCAATTTAATCAGCATATTTTTTGTTCTTTTTAATCTTCATGGTCAATTCCGATTCTTGATTAGTATTGGACAATCTTCATATCTGTATTGGTTAGCTGCTAAGCATGAAGTATGAGCCCATGATGTATTATTTGATGCTAAAAATCTGCATTCAACTTGGCTATGAACTTTTTTTCCAGGACAATATGTCCAAATAATTTCTATAGGACAGAATGTAATATCAAGTTTGTTTGGGAGTGCAGTACAGAATGCCTGATGCCTATGACCAGGAAGGAGGTGTCAGTCAGGACAAAAGATTTGCAGTAGCCATCCAGCGTTACAGGTCAGTCTATTAGTTTTGTCTTTATAAGCCATTTGTTATTATTCATTTTTCTCCTTGCAACTCTTTATATATCCATCTAATGCGTGCACATGTGCGTGCGCTTGTGTGTGTGTGTGTGAGGATTTTGTCATCCTCAGTTATTGTTTTACATCGTCTGCCCTCCTGATAAAACATGCTAGGGGCTTTTTTTTGCCGTCAAATTTTGCAAACACCTATCTCATCCTGGTGAACAATCTCATGAGAAAATTTTGAAAAAGAGCCGTAGGAGTTTTTTTTTTCCCTACTCTCATGGAATGGTTGGATTGGAGCCTTGTTTTCATATTGCTTTTAATATCTAAAAATAAAAAGGTTGGATTGAAGCCTGAGGGAAATTGTTTAACCCCAAAATTTTTAGATGGTCTTATAATCACCAGACGAAAAAATTTGATTTTTGAGTTCTTTAAGACCCAGATCTAAGGGCAGGATTTTTTTAAGCATGTCCATGGTGCAACTTTTATTTTTAAAACAGATTAGGCACTAGGATGGGCAGGGAACATCCCAAAATTTTGGGGTTGTGAGGATCCTCCTAACCTTTGTTTTTTTTGCCAAGGGTGGAAACAGTTCTCACTCATAGGATGAAAATACACACCCACACACACACACAGATGCAGATATGCATACAATGAGCAAGCATAAAGAAGTAAAGAAAAGCAGGGCTCCATCATTGATACGTTAGTAATGGCTCAAGGTCACAAAATTTGGAGCATGTCAAGGGCTGAAGTCACAAAACACGCGCTTCATCTAGGAGGCTGACCTACGGAGCTTTAGTTCTTAGGAGTAGATAATGATAAGAAAACAAGAAGACGGAAAAGTGTTATCTTCAAGATTATTCATCCTCTCTCACTAGCACAGAGAATGGCCATTGAATTTTTCTCACCCTCTCTTTCAACTTCATGGTTTTCAACGAGCCTACATGTCTCACCAAAAGAAACTCGCCACAGTGGGCTGAGAAGGGATAAATGCCACTTGTTTCCCTTTCAGACATCCAAACCCAAGTAGCCAAAAGATTTTTACTGTCCATTTATTCCCTCTTGGGTAAAACCTAATCTAAGAGTACTTTTAGGAAATTTTTGGGATGTAACCTCCTCAACCCATATGTTGAACTCATGAAAAAGAAAATTCCAGATCACATTCTCTAAAATAATGCCTTAAGGTTGAATAGAAACCATCCAATTTTTGAAGTGTGAGATCTAAGTGTTAGAAAACTCATTTTACTTCCTTTGAACATAATCATCTTGTGATTTAGGTGGTTCCCAAAATTTCGGATAAAAAAAATTTCCCACGTCTTCTGCTTGAGAAATAAATTATAGTATACTCTTGCTGGAGCATAGTATACTATATATATATATATATATAAATGCTGCGATTAGCCCATTAGCTCATATGAACGTATGAGCCCAACTGCCTAGATTGAATCTGGGTCGATCTGACGGTCACCATTTCATTTCGTATTTGAATTTTAATTTTTTTTTTACGAATCCAAATAGCTTGAAATTTTAGGCGTTAATTTTTCTCATCAAAGCGCACCTAATAAAAATATTTAAAAAATAATTCATAAACATAAATTAACCAAAATACCCTCAAAAGGGTAAAAATAATTCTCAAAAACTAAATTGACTAAAATACTTCAGAAACTTTTCAAGGGTATTTTGGTTAATTTATTTCTTATAAATTATTATTTTTATATTTTTATTAGATTCTCCTATTTTTGAAAAGTACACGCCTAAAATTTCAAGTCATTTGGATTTGTAGAAAAAATTAAAATTCAAACATGAAACGCGGTCGTGACCATCAAATCGGCCCAGATTCAATTTAGGTCGTTAGGCTTATATAAGCTAGTGGGCTAATCTCATCATTTTCCATATATATATATATGAGAAATGACCTTGTGAGACCCTCCCACACCCATGTGTGTAGAACCCCAAAGGATCACCATTAAATTTGGCACAAATCTTTAGAAAAGTCAAGTCCCATACCCATGTGATAACTTTTCTAGAGATCTGTATAAATTTAATGGTGATCTTTTGGGGTCCTACACACATGGGTGTGGGAGGGTCTCATAGGATCATTGCTATATATATATATATATATATATATATGGAAAAAGTCTTCCCAATGCCTATAGGCAAAAATGAATAGTGATTTTGCCTATTCTCATCACCGTCCAAAGTTCATCGCATAGTCAAGACTGTCTAGTAGTGTTTCATTTTTCATTTTTTTTCTACAGATTGGAATGACTTGAAATTTGGAACATATGTATATCTTAGTGAGGCGCACCTAATAAAAATATAAAAAAATAATTCAAAAAAAAAAATTGACCGAAATACCCCCCAAATATTTTTGGGGTATTTTGGCCATTTTTTCATGTAAAATATTTTTTTGATATTTTTCATAGATTTGCCAATTTTTGGTGAACATACGCTCCAAATTTCAGGTCATTCCAATTTGTAGAAAAAAATGAAAAATGAAACACTACTTGACAATGGTGACTGTGCGATGAACTTTGGACAGCGATGAGGGTAGGTGAAATCACTGTTCATTTTTGCCTATAGGAGTTTTGTAGTATCTTCCTATATATATACATGCGGTTTGTATAGAGCCAAGACTCTCAAAAATCAAAGTAAAGCGCACCTTCAAATAGTGTCAAGAAATGTCATTTCAGTATTGGAAATCTTTGTGATAGCCTAAAATATACTCATTTTGAATTATAAAATTTAAAACTTATAAAATAGTGTAGATTGAGCAGATCTATGAAAACTTGAAAGTTTAGAAAATTGACGGTCCAAAAATGCATTATAAGATGTACTATTTCCAAAATTTGAAATCCATTTTTTTCTCTTGCCCATACATCTTGATGTTGAGATGATCAATTTGAGGATATTTGGGCATCAAAGCAATCTCTTCTAATGGAATTTTTGAGGTCGGTCTAATTTGATTGTTTAGAGCCTCTGCTCTATATAAACTTTTATTTCTCTCTCTCTCTCTCTCTCTCTCTCTATATATATATATATATATAATAAAACGTAAAAACTAAAAA